TTGAACCTAGATTTTGCAATACTCGCTCTAACTATATCCTCTATTTTACGATAGCGATTCGATCTTTCTCTCGGTCGAACGATATCCTTGATTAAACGAAGCAAATAACCAAGCAAATCTATTCTCCAGATCGCAAAAGAAATGTGACCTCGATCAAATATAAGAGGCCTGAAATTGATAAAATATTGCTTATCCTTCTTATTTCCCTTTTGCTGGCTTTACAAGCTTTGGGATCCGTGTAGTCATATTCAAAGGGATCCAGTTCGGATTGTCTTTTGGAAGTCAAGGGGAGAAGAGCATGAGTGCGTTTCACAAGTGAAGGACGAATTAAGTGAGTTGAAGCTCGATAAAACTAGACGCTCCAGTGTAGCGTGAACTCGTACCGTGAAATTTCATTATTCACAAATTCACGGGATATATGACGTCACATACGCTTATTGACAGGATATGTCAGCATTGTCTTGATTAGGAGTTGGTTTGTAAAGGTTTAATTAATTACAGTTAAAAAAGAGAAATTATTTACAATTTTTCCCACGGTCACTTGATGTATCACGTCACATACACTATTTAACAGGACATGTAAAGGCTTCCCAAGCTCTGGGTTAGTACAGGAGAAAGGATGCGTAAGTTGGGCTACCTGTGGCGACTATATTAACGGCTCTTCACATAGTCTCAAAATATCGTCTCTAAACTGTATGTATTCATTCTTGAATATCAAAAAATCTCAATAAAGACGTTTCAATAGTTAATGAACACTTCTAGAGTATTTATTTCCTAGTTTGAGGCCGTTTTAGTGAGTTGTGAATTCCGATCAATTTATAAATATATTTTTCATGTCATACTCTATCAATTGGTACACTTTCGATATTATTGACTCATAGGATAGTAGATAGTAGATCTGTTCTTTGTAGACTTTGTATTGTCGACGTTCTTAATTTTGTTAATTAAAAGGTCCTCGTGACATGTTATCAGTAAATGAAGTGCCGCAAATGTCTTTTTTTACTACTTTTGCTCAGAAAGCAGCTTGTAGGTAATAATATAATAAAATTTTAAGTGTCAAATCCTTATTATTACTCAGTTTGTCAAAGAAATTGAAACCTTTCTGGACGAACCTGTTAAAGAAACAGTACTTTGTCGATAATTAGTATTCAGTTCTTTTGTTAAAATTGTAATCGGTTTGTCTGAGTTTGTCTGAGTTCTCGACGGGGTGCAAAATGTGTGACGCCATCTGTGCGGAGCGCTATTGTAATCGGTGTACCGCGTCTCAATTGGACAAGCTTGAGTAAGCTCATGACGTCATAGMGTCAACATGGTTTCCGGAAGCCTCGTTTTGAATTGTGACGCCACTTCCTCCAACTGCGTGACTTATGACGTCAGTTCCCTAGTGCCCCTGACCCGTGGCGTGACGTCTTACGTCACGCTTATTGTTTGTTAGGGTTTGGACCAATCAGCGTTCGAGCGCTAAACTCACCGACCCCAAAACCACT